GGTAGGAATTGTGCACGAAGTCCAGCAGACAGGAGAGAAAATTGCTCGCAAGCTCCCTTCCAATGAGTTTCCACGATGAGTCATTTTTGCTTTAACTTTCCATCTGCCTCCTTGTAAAGGGATATTGTCATTTTGAGGTGGTTTAAATGAAACTGGGGAAAACTGCTGTCGCCGAGGTTCCAACAAGCATGTCCATACAAAACCCGGGGCGAGTCATTTCTCCAGCCATTTTATAAACTGATGATTCCTGTGCTTAGCTCTCGCAGTGGGTCAGCAATACAAGGCTTTTTTTTTTCTTTTGGCCTGTTGTGGAAAAACATAGTTGTGTAGGTGTCATAGAAATAATTGTAGCCCTGGTTTACTAAATGCTGTCTTATCAGTTAGCTTTTCTTTAATGTTAAATACTGGAACAGTTACAAAAGACTTATCCGTATTTTCGTTTCCAATTTTTTCTTTTTTCTTTAGTTTTACTGGCAGCATATAAAGGGGATTATTAATATCCTTAGTCTGCTCTCTGTGAGGAAGTTGTTCAAACATTCTTTAGCGAAGTGGTCAGAGGATTACTAAATACGCGCCACTTTCATGGCCTACAGCTTCTGTCTCTGAATACAAATCTGTCAAAACCCAGCGCAAAAAAAAAAATCTACATTAGTGCAAACAGATTTTGAACTTTATTGCATAACAGCAAAAACGATCATCCCTATATCTGTTATTGACAGATGAAACTCATAAAGTGCGAATGCATAGCCTGTCTTTACTAGAATTTCAATTTGATGTCAGATTTGGAAGCCCGCACAGCTTAGATGAACAAACAGACTGGTGTGTGGTGAAGATGGTTTGGGGGAAAGGCTGCTGTTAGAGAAGTGCGCGATGGTTAAAAACAGGAGAAAGAGAGAGATGAAGCATCACAACCTGCCAATCAGTGGCATGAATGTGTGTGTGTGTGTGTGTGTGTGTGTGTGTGTGTGTGCGTGTGTGTGTGTTTGAGTGTGTGTGTGCATGTTTGTGTGTGTGTGTGTGTGTGTGAGAAAAAGTTTGTCCACATCCTGAAGAAAGATGTTGTGGTGTCAGAGTGACGTAACGCTGAGCTGTTGCTTTGAGTGGGTGTCGGGCATGAATGTGTGGATGTGGATTGAGTGCGTGTCCCTTTGCGCGCACACAGAGCTGTTCTCGGGTCATTGTTCTGGCCTTCGCTGAAGTGTCGGGTGTGTATTTACAGTCCTGTCAGGAGGTAACAGAGGGAGGAGGAGGAGGAGACGTAGCTGACACAGAGGAGAGAGCCATGCTGTCCCTGAGCTGTGCCGACCCGTGGGCCGAAGGCTCCGTGGGTCTGGAGGAGGAGGTGGTGACTGCGGCGGCTCAGGCTGAGGAGCGGGACGGAGTCAGCGGCACCGATAGCAGCAGCTGCTCCGTCAGCCTGGACGACAGCCTGACCAGCCTGCAGTGGCTGCAGGAGTTCTCCATCCTCGGCACCAACGTGCCGCATCACACGCACCACCAGCACCACCTGTTC